TTCCAAAACAGTGTAGGAGAACATATAATAATTTAAAATTGTCAGAGAGAGAGAGAAACAATAAGTTCCTAATAACTATTTGTTTTGGGAAACAACAGATCAAAGTGCCCTACAAATGAGAAAGATGATGAAATAAATTATTTAGAAGAAAAGAAAAACTAAAAGAAGATGGAAAATTGCAAGAACAACTCAATTCTTCCACTCCCTTAAACTAAAAGTTGCAACCATTACCTCTGCAAGGCATCCTTTGAACTGATGGGACCCAAAGAGACAAAAAATTAACCACATTGCCTGTACTTTGCCTTCATTTGCATCATTACAGTTGCAGATAATGAGACCCACCAAAAAAGTTTCATGCTATTGTTGCTTCTTCTTGCACGAAAATTCTAAAATGGACCAATTGAATGAACGGTTGGATGTACAATTAAGAATTTAACGTCGAAAGATGCATACTATGTTTCGGTTCATGTTAAAAAACCCCATCTTCCGACCTACCATGCCATGTATTCAAAATGGTCATTTGCTTCATCCTCCATTGGAGCTGGAAGATTGAGATCAAATGGTGCTGTGATTTCAGCCTCATGAGGAGGGGATTGATCAGGTTCTTGCTGCCCAAGTACCACAGTTTTGACTTCACATCCCCCAACAAAATGTGACCTTTTGTGACCGCCCAAAGCCTGGCCTGACCTGAAAACCTTGAAGCAGAAGGGACACTCATGCCCCTTGCTTTTCTTGGACCCTGAACATCTCCTTGCACTGCCACTGAAGTCCTGATCATACATTGGTTTCTTCCCACTGCAATGCTGCTCAGCAAGCTTGCTGCTTTCGGGTGTCGGAATTGGAGAGGGATCGGTGTCCATGCTGTTTTCCCCACTCTCATAGATGGACTCAGAGTAAGCAGTGGTCTTGGTGTGACTTGCTCTGTGCGTCCCAAGAGCCCTGTGAGAATGGAACGTTTTGTTACATGTCAAGCACTTGTATTTTCCGCTCTTCCGTGTAATTCTGCAGGGTTTGACATTGGAAGAATCATCAGCAATTGGTCTGTGAAAAGTTCCATTCTTGGTTGTATTTCTCAATGCATACTTCAAAGTCCTTCTATCTCCATGCACTTGATCAGGATTACGATCTTCTGCATTTGACACATCCTTGCCCAATTCAGATTCGACACAAAAACCCTTCCTTAATTTCACATCATAGGACTCATATCCCTCGATTCTGGATCCAAATTCTGCTCTACCCTTGTGAAATTCACCATTCCTAAAAAACCCATCTTCTGAAACTTCCGAATCAACTTTCTTAGGTCGTTCATGTCTAAAATACCCGGAATCAGAATTGTCAGAAACATCCATCTCTTCACAGTAGAACTTTTTCTCTCTTGCTCTCTTCATCCCTATAACATCACTCACTTTATAGGCACGGTTCATACCTTTCTTAGTACTAATCCTCACATCGATAGACGATGATTTCGCCTCCAAAACCACAGAGTTGTTGTCTGAAGACTCAGCAAACGAATTCAAACCCCCTTTACTACCCGAATCGCGTGACAGCATCATCAAACAAATAGCAACTTCTTGCTGCTCTTGCTCGATTCCGGAACCACCAGATGACGAACCACCATTTGCCACAGAAGAGTAAACATCCAGATTCTGCTGCTTCAATCTTTTGGAAATCCTTCTCTGCCTCGGAGGAGCCGATGCCTCAGTATCCGACTGACTGTTCATTACATCAAGCAGCTTCTGCTTCTCATCGAACTCTGAGATTTCTTCAAGCTTGTTCATCAGCTTCTCCTTCTCCGAGTGACAAGCCATGTGACCACACAGAGCTTTCAGTGACTGAAACCCTTTGCCGCATACTTTACACGCCTCCTCCTGCTGCAACTGGAAACTGGGGCTCGCATCCGAAAACCTCCATGTTTTCTTGGGGTTTTCTCTGAGAGAATACCCAGAATGCCCACCATCTAAAGGTGAAAATTTTACAATCCTAGAAGCAGCGTTGGCTATAATTTCATCATCTTCTTCCTCTTCTTCTTTTTGAATAGCTGGTTTTTTGTTCAGAATCTTCAGATGGGTTCTTATGTGACCACCCAATGACTTCCCACAGGGGAACCTTTTGCTGCAAAACTTGCACACAAATTTCTTTTTCTGGTTCTGATTGTTCTGATCTTCTTTCTCCACGGTTGGATTTCTCTCCATCACTCAATAGTCAAAACCAAAAGATGGGGCAGCAGTAACAAAGTAAAATTAGCAAGACTCACCTCAAACGAAGTAGCTAGAATGCAGCATTATTCGGTTCCCTGGTTGCAGTAAAAAATACCCAAATGGCAGAGAGAAACAGAGCACAATCTCTCTCAGATCGAGCTAGCAGCTGGAGAAACAGATCACAAAGTTTGAAGCTTTATTACAGGTGATGAACAGATGGGAGAATTGAAGTGTTGAGATGTGACGGTTTTGTGAAGTACGAGATCCGACCCAACAAAACGGACCCTTTAAATTCCATATCAAAGTATAACCCACAATCCCTTTTTTCAATGTTGAAAACAAAATTTGGGATTAAATCGAAAAGATCAAATTTTGGGGCAATGGGTTTCTTCTCGCCAGTGATGGCGATGAAGAGGCCTGTAAACACAATCAAGGCTTAAGCCATGACTGATTCAGAGATTCTTCTCTCTCACTTTCTCTCTCTAGCTTGTGTTATAGTCGGAGGAGAATTCCATGCATGGAATGGAAGCAAAAGATAAAAAGTAAATAAAAGATTGGCAGCACGTGTTGTCAAGTGAGACGTCTTCGCTGCTCAACTGGACGGCCAGGATTGCTGGGTGTGTATTGAGGATCCCAAGGTTTGAGGAGTTACACGTCTAGCAAGTAAAATATATATGGTAACATTCTTCACGTACTTTGTTTTTACTTCCTACACATTCTTATTAATTTTATGTCATTGTTGTTTTTTAATTCATTCGTTCCTATGGTCGAAGACTGAAATGATTGTGTGAGAAATAAAAATAGCCGTGTGGATAGTACTAACCAATAAAATAGTGTAAAACTGAAACATCATCATCCAAACTATGCCTTAAACTTGTCTTTGCTTGTAATTGTAGAGAAGCACAATCCAAAGGTCAGGTCGTTATTGTCCTATAAGCTTCCTATGGTCATATAGTTCAAGGATTGCTGGGGACAGTCTTCAACACGTCCATAGGTGACTCTTAGCTGTTGATGCAATTGCGAGCTTTTATGCGTCAATAAGAGTAATTGCGTCTAGCAAAGTCCGAAAAGGAAATGTATTTGCATAAATGATAGGTATATGTCAACATATTAATGAGTTTTCTTTACTTTCTAATCCCTTTCCCACTACATTAGTATACGACTGGTCTTTTGTAAAACAATGTTTATATATGATTCAAGGGCTGAGATTGAAATCATCAAACTAATCTTGAAGTTAGATGCTGACTAAGATGACACATGTTGTTCCCAATTCATCAAAGACCAAAACAAAATGTGTAAGTTTCAATTCATAGAAAGTCACATTTGCTTAGTAATTACCAGTTTCTTTGATCAAGTCAACCGCCCATATTGTAGTCATCTTCTTGTCATATATCCATTGCAGATGTTTAATTATTAAAATTCCATGCTTACCATTTTCCAGATCATATTTTTTGTTTAAAACTCATATGAAAATTGGGTAAGGGAAAATTCTCCGCTCGGTTGTGTCTTCTAATCTTTATTATTTGTATCTATTAAAAAAAAATTAAAATATCAATAGACATGCACACTATTCTAACCAATAGATCAAACGTAACTTTTTTGGGCTAAGCTTAATGAGTTCTAAAGTTCATAGAGCTGTTTGACATCTTGTAATTGGAAATGGATCATCTTCAGATCCCTTCCACCTGAGCCTACTGAGCATAAAATTCGGACCATTGAAATTTGATTAAACGACTAAAGTTATTATAACGTTAATAAGATCTCTTATTTTTAGTCGTTAGATCAAATTTCAAGGACCCAAATTTTATGCTCAATTGGCTCAGGTGGAAAGGGGTCCTTGTAATTGACCAAAATTTTGCCAAATCAGCTGAAGAATTCCACGTGGCCAACACAAAAGAATTAAAGAATTCAACCACCCATTTTCGACAAAAACAAAAAAAAAACACCCATTTTTTAAAGCATTGACTTTCAAGATAAGAGAATCGCAATTGCAGCATGCATGTCAGTCCTTCCGCATTATAAAGTAACCGATTCCCTCCGAACCCAAAGAGTTGAGTTGAAGGATTAAATGATCCAGATCATTAAAATTTGATTCAACAATTACAATTATTATAACTTTTAGAAGGACTCTCTATTTGTAGCCGTTTGATCAAATTTCAATGATCGAGATCATTTGATCCTTAGGCTCAGTTTATTTGGATTCGAAAGGGATCCTATTCCCATTATAAATTATGAGCAGAGTACTTAAAGACCCAACAGGATACTCTCTAGATCCTTTTGGTGAAAATTCTGAGAATTCGTAAATTATGTTCGTTTATCGTATAATCAGTTTTTTTTTCAAGCACGGTTTGTGTTTAATTTTAAATATAAATATTTAAAATGATTTATGAGTACGATCAACGGACACGATTCACGAATCCTCGAGATTCTTATAAAGAGGATCCGGATTCCTTAAAGACGGCTGCAACCATACAAAGTGTGGCTGCCTGCTATGGGACAGTAAATAAAGAGGTAATGAAGCTGCACACAAAATTACAAATGACAGGAATATTCCAATGAGAAAACTTGACATATACAAGAATAATTGATTCCATGGGTTTTTGTACAAAAAGAAACACCGGATATCAAATCACCTGTGCTTCGGGCAAAAAATATTAATAAACAGAAGAAAAAAAATGGAGAAAAGCTCCCTTGCATAGAAACTTAGCTTCCAATCTCAAAACTTAGCCCCCACATGAGCTTTACAGTATTTACAGTAACGATTATTTGGGTTAAAAGAATTATTTCCTAAGCCACCGGCGACTAGCCACCAGTTGGAGCCTTGCGCTCATCCGTCATCCTGTAATCCTCCATGCCTTGATCGAATATGTCTTCAATCATACTCCACGTCGGCAGTAGATCATCGCCTTTCATGGTGTCCACCGTGAATCTGGCGTCCCAAACTTTAGCGTTGCAAGGCTCCAATAAATATGCATGACCAGCTACATCACCGGATGCATCCGGTTGGCTATCCAAGCATTTGCTGTGAGAGTCATGCGTATAGGACTGAAATTCGAAAGATACGCACGAGTCATCTTGGAAATCAAATTCCTCTCCAGTACACGCTGAATTCTTTTCCCAATCCCCAACTGTATCAAACTTTCCTTCGTTAACTGAGTTCAGCATGTATGATTGTGCTACATGATCTATCCCGCCATCTTCTTCGCTAGAATCTCCTCCAACATGCCCCACATCACCATCACCGTCACCGCCATCATCATCGCTACTATCTTCTTCTGAGTAATCCTCTTCATGGTCCAAATGATCATCTTGATAATAAGGAGACTCAATAACAGAGTCTTCATCATCTTCAGCAATTCTCCCGTCATTGGAACCCCCATCGTTTACATGCCACTCATCATCATCACTATCTATGTCTAGTATACTGGACCTGTTCTGAGCACCCCGCGTGCGAAGCATGAACACATTAAAATAATAGCTGATCAGTTCCCTTTTACTTCGAGAAGGGAACACTGCAGACAACTGCTTCCAAAACTTCCTCCCCAATGATGCAGGATTGGAGTAAACAACCTCAAGAAAGGTCTGCTCTTCTTCTTCACTCCATCGTTGTGCCACTTCCTCCCCCATGTCACAAAACCCCAACTTCACAAACTTTTCATTTCCAAGGGTTCTTCTAAGTTCTTCCCGTGCTTCCATGACATGCTGTCGCACACACCTGACTGAACCTGCGTCCAGGCAGCTACAATCTGTTCGACCAAGTCCAACCTTATCACACTCAAGTGCTGATAGGTCTGACACAGGCATTGGAATGACACATGTTCCTAAAAGCTTTTCCTCACTGTCATTATTAATCTCAACTTTCTGATCCGACAAATTCATGTGTCCACTCCAAGTGGGGATAATGGCCTGATGATCTGGTCCAACAGGAACTTGTTTTCTTGGAGAGCAGTCAAACAAAGAAGAATAAGCATCCTTGAAAGGAACAAATGTTCTCCTTGGGAAGTCAAATTTGAAATCCTCAGTAGGAGTTGAACAAGCATCTGGTCCAGACCGCACATCTTCTTCACCACAACTCCTAGTTACCAATGAGAAGGAAGCACAACCCTTGTTGACAGATGTTGAAACTTCAGCAACACTATATTTTTCAAGAACGTCACGCCACTGAGATTTGCAATCACCATTCCGATTCTCCCCTGAATTATGGAAAACAAGATTAGACTTCACCATGAATCTATCAAAGCAACCATGTTCAGTAATTAAAATAGCAGGCTTTATTAGCTACAAAAAGAAAACGAAGGTAATGTAATCCCAAAATAACATTTACCTGAAACACAAGTTTTTCGGGGAGCACCATTACAAGAAACAGCATCAGAAAATGGTGAGCGTCTATCACCGAATTCATGCTGTCTTGAGTGCTTATAAGGAAGCTCCTGGAACTCGACATCATCAAAGGGTCTTTTGAATCCCATATTAACCTGAAGCCCAAATAATTTTCTATGAAAATTTTGAAAATATGCATGACAACACCAACAACAATAATACTTAGGCGTTTAGCAGAAAAAAAAAACTACATTTTTCATAGAAAATTTTCCAAAGCCAAGACTGCAGCCATGTAACGTTGCTAATCCAAACCCGCCAAAACCCGCATAACTTGCTTTCAATTGCTCACCCACTTAATCAAAACACCAACATATCTTCACTTGAACACAGGCCACTTAAGCCTTTTTTATCATTTCACCAGACCACATATTCCAACTTAAGCTAACCATTAACTAACAAAATATTTTCAATAATATCAATATTCAATCTCAATACTGTTTCCATTTATCAGATTTATTTGTCAGCATAAGAATAATAATGATAACTGATAGGGCAAAAAACTCACAATAATTACAACAAAACCCATCACAAAATTAAAGTGACAACAACAAAATTGTACCTCTACTAATTCTTCGGAGGAACAGTAGACGGCTTAAGTAATACAATTGAACGCTGAATTATGAACAGAAACAGATTTATCGGCCTTAGGAACCGTAACCCTAATCCAATTTTACCAAATAAAGAAGGTGATTTTTTTTAGAAACCCTAACCCTAGAAATTGCAATTGACAAGTGAAATCGTGAAATTATTGACAAAAATATGCACGAAATAGCGACAGATAGGTGAGGCGAACAAAACCCCTAACAGAAATTACACAAAGAACAAACCCTAATGAGACGAACTCTACGAAACCCTAGAAATTCGACGCGGCCGAAAAAATATACAAAATTAGGAGCAAATTCGAGAGGGCAAAGCAAGAAGACAGAAAATAGATCCAATAAACAAGAGGGATTGGAATATTACGAGGCGAAAGGGGCCGATTCAGAGTCGAAACCCTAGAATTGTGCGAGGCCAACGGATTGGGTTGAATTTGGGATTAATCGATAGCGGAGGTTCGAATTCAAACAAACGGACAACCGATTCAACGATTATGATAAGAAATTTGGGGAAATCTGGAAACAAATTTAGGTCAACCTGCTTGGGATCGAATCGGAAGGGGATGACGATGAAAGATAAAGGGGCTACGGTTCGTGGATTTTATGTAAAAGAAGCGGTCCAGGTGGTAAAAAAACCGGTTTAATCTTGATACCGAGAGAGAGTATTGGTGTGGGCTGGAGCATATATAAGCCGAAAGGGCTGAAGCCGTCTTTTGTGGAATTGAATTTACGATAAGGTCCCTACTGTCTAATGTTATCGTTTGAAAAAAATAGAGAAAAATAAAGAGAGTTTAATAGGAGAAAGCTCCTCACAAACTCTTTTTTTATAAAAAAAATTCCTAGCCATTTGTTTTTACCTTTTTTTTTTTACCCAATTTGTTTTTACTTCTTTTTTGGTAAAATAAAAAAAATAAAACCAAATTAATTTTCTTTCTACTCAACTCTGATATCATATGAAGTGACGTCTTACTTTTAGTCATCGAGTCCAAAGATAAGGACAATCTTCCCAAATAATACATTCGTAAGTTCAAACTCGGATTGAAAAAAACAAAAAACTGTTAAACACTTATAATATTGAATAATATGTAGCATTTGATGCTAGTGATAGCGTGACAAATGATGAAATTTCCAATTCACCGAATCTTTATAAGAAAAGTCATATTGCGCTTGGGGATAGATCTAAAGGGGGACCCGAGTGGTTAGGGACCACCTGAAAGCCGGTAAATGATCCTTTGAAGGACCTTCGAGGACCTCTCGATTCTCTTGGAAGGTGGTGGTGGAAAGGTGGTCGGGACCTCTTCGGTTCCATAGATATGCGGCAGTTGATCGGCAGAGAAGCTGCAATGTTGGTGGTGACGCTTTGCAACTATGGTTGTTTGTTGGAAGAAAATTTGGTTGCCCACCTCTTCGGTTTTTAGTTCTATTTCCGTCTCAAAAATTCTTGGATTGTACATGCTAAGACCACTTAAAATTAGGTATTTGATTACGAATTTTAAAATGAAATTTGGTTGCTATATTATAGTGTAAGTTGCTCGGTGTTACAGTGTATATGCATTCATTTTATATTTTGTTTTGACTAGACAGAGATTTGCCAGACCAGCAACGGGATGCCGTGGTAATGGTGTAGGAAAAAAAAAAAGAAAAAAAAAAAAGGAAGATCAACAGAATTATAATTTCCTGGTTTCTGATTTTATTACATTAAACTAAGAAAATAACAAATTGAGATATATTCCACTAAGCCGAGGACAAAGCTCACGAACTGTATTAAGGATACTATTACAAGTAACATAAGACGCAACATAAACCCCCCAAGTTTAATGAATAGTGAAATAACAAAATCATACAAGAAGGTAAAAATTAAGGACAAATTATGCATCCACTATCAGTAACAAACTTCGGAACTAACAGAACTTTTGCCCACAAGCGGATCGATCTTCAAATTACTGTGCTTCTTCGCTCCTCCTCATCAAGTCTTTACGCCACGGCGGGCATGTCCTTGAGCCACTCGTCCAGGGGCTTTCCGATGGAGTAAACAATGAACCCAATTTGCCTCAGCTTCTCAGCATCCACCACGTTCCTTCCATCGAATACAAATGCAGGCTTCTGCATCTGATCATAAATCTTCTGGTAATCAAGACTCTTGAACTCGTCCCACTCGGTCAGGATGCAGATTCCATGAGCATCCTTTGTTGCCGCATACGCATCCCAGACTACACCAACTTGCTTCACAGTAGTCGGGCTCTGAGGTTGAAGATGAATCGGATGGTCCCAATCAAACTTCTTCATAGAAAGATCCCTCTGGATCTGATCCTCACTCACCTGAGGGTCGTATATGCTCAGCCGGGCCTTGTCACCCAACAGCCCTTTGCACACGTCAATGGCAGGTGTCTCCCTAGTGTCACCAGTGTCCTTCTTGAAGGCAAATCCCAGGATTGCTATCTTCTTACCCGAGACTGTGTTGAACATTGAGGAAACCACACGGTTCACAAACCGAGACTTCTGGTAGTCATTGATCTTAATGACTTGTTTCCAGTAATTTGCAACCTCAGGAAGGCCATTACACTCGCAGATATATACCAAGTTCAAAATATCCTTCTGGAAGCAAGACCCACCAAAACCAACGCTGGCATTTAAAAACTTAGGCCCAATTCTTGTGTCCTTGCCAACGGCATGTGCCACTTCTTGGACATTTGCACCAGTTGCCTCACAGAGTGCAGATATGGCATTAACAGAAGATATCCTCTGTGCCAAGAAGGCATTGGCAGCAAGCTTTGAAAGCTCAGCAGACCACAGATTAGAGCAGATGATTCTTTCTTCAGGGACCCAATGGGCATAAACTGACTTGAGTGCTTGAATTGCCTTTTGGCCTGCTGGGGTTTCCCGACCTCCAATGAGGACACGATCTGGGCTAAAAAGGTCCTCGATTGCAGTTCCCTCAGCAAGGAACTCAGGATTTGAAAGAATTTGGAAGTTGATGCCTTTGCTGTTGTGGGTCAGAATCTTTTCAATGGCCTCAGCTGTTTTGACTGGGACAGTTGACTTCTCAACCACAATTTTGTCAGACTTTGATACATCTGCAATCATACGAGCAGCACTCTCCCAGTAGGTAAGATCAGCAGCTTTGCCAGCTCCAAGACCCTGGGTTTTGGTGGGCGTGTTTACAGAAACAAAGACAATGTCTGCCTCCATAACGTGTTTTTCAACATCGGTGCTGAAGAAGAGGTTCTTTCCTCTGCGCTGCTTCACCACATCATCAAGGCCTGGCTCATATATGGGGAGCGTATCACTGTTCCAGGCATTGATCCTAGACACAGAAATGTCAACAACAGCTACTTCAATATCTGGGCACTTAAGGGCAATCACAGCCATAGTAGGCCCACCAACATATCCAGCTCCAATGCAGCAGATCTTCACCATCTTGTTCTGCTATTGACGGCCTAAAGACGAGCAGATCAAAACAATGAGATAAGCTACAGTCCAAGCACTGAAATACTAGATCTTTATGTTATTATAGAATTATCATAGCTTTAAAAGACTAATTGCTCCTGACCGACCTTTTACTTTTATTAAGAACAAAAGGACAAATAAACCAATATCCCTATAAAAAAAAACTAATAAAAATAGTTTGAAAACTTTGAGTTTTAAAAATAAAGGATAAAGTGAATAGTACAGTATTGACTTTTTAGTAGAAAAATGTGATTTTTCGTTAAAATAAACAGTATTGGAAGCTTTTCGTCAAAATTCTCTATATAAAATGATGACAAACAAGCTATATTGGTAATCGAGTGTCATATATTCCATTCAGAATGCAGTATAATATCCAAATCTAGGAGACAAATTGGTGATCCATGGTGAAGGAAAAACATAAATGAACGCAAAAGATTAACCACGGAAACAAGGGCCTAGCCATCAGTGTGTCTCCTACCGACAACCATATCGAAGAATAGGCTCAAAAGTCAAAACCTTTTCGATTTTAAAGTATAATACTGATTCGTGAAACTAAAACAGAGAATTGTAGCTAAGTGTGAGATAGGTGAACGCAAGATCTATAAGTTTAATCGACGAAAAACTCATTACAATTTTTGCAGATCCACAGTTTTTAAAGCAAATGAAAGATGGTTTCTTCAAAATTCAGCTAAACAATCCCATTTCTACAACCCAAAGAATGCAAATCTCAAATTATAAGATCCAAATTCGCAATTAGAAACCGATTCCAATCAGATCTACAGCAAACAGTGAGAAACTACAAAGATCTACACATTCCAGCACACCCAAACAGCATCACAAGTTCACACAAGTTCATAACACAAGTAAATGAGCAATCTTTCCGAATCAAACACCTCAACACACAGAACCCAAATCGAATTATGCAAAAACAATATCGAAAAATACCCATACACAAAAAATCGAAAACAACCCAATTGAGCAAAACCACGGAGCTCGACGAAATACCAAATGAGCAGAGCAGATGAATATTACCTCAGTCAATGTGAGGCGGGAGGTTGACGGCGGAGAGAGCGAGAGAGATCTTATGCGGAAGAAGAGCGAGAGAGAGAAGAGAGAGGACAGGAGGGAGCTCTGTTCTTCTTCTGATGGCAGTTAACGTAGGAGATCTGAGGGGTATATATACGCTCACAGCGCAGTGAGGAGTTCATAAGATCCAACAACCGAGATCTGTGTGACCCGGAAACAGTACCAGCCCGATCCACGTTGGTTCAACACGTTTTTGTTTCACTTTTCACGCATCGTCATCATTTCCTAACCCAAACGAATCAAAAAATTATTAATTGTGACGGAAATATAGATGGTATATTATAAGTTTTTATGTAAGTGATGAAATTTTTTAATGTTTAAGTTATTAATCTTTTAACACACATAATTCATCATTTATATAAAAACACATAATGTACCATTCGTATAACAGTCATACTAAAAAATCTCTCAAACGAAACAAATATCATGCAGTGAAAAGTGCATTGTAATTTATTTAATTTTTATTTAAAAAATTAGATATATTTTTTTAATAAATCATTTATGCTTTGGGGCTGGTAACTAGAAGCTTCCCACCGTTCAAAGTCAACATGCGGTTTTTCCCTTGTTTGTTTTCATGGAGGGATGTATTAGATATTTAAGCAGTATTTTTATTATAATAGAAAAAACAATATATTTTTTCGTGTTTATAGAGCTTTCATTCGCTTCCCTCCTCGCTAGAGCTTTCATTCGAGCAGTTTCGCTTCCATCTCCTTACTCACTTAGGGAATACTTGTACCGTGAGTTGTAGAACAAATGGCAAATAGCACCATAGTAGAAGTAGAATCATTACCTGGGATTAGATCTTTCTTCTTCGTTTCCTCCTTTGAGTTGCTGTAGAAATGGTTTCATTGGAGTCAGCCGATGGCGATGGTATTGTTGAACGCTTCGCTAAAGGTATACCTAAGAGACAAACAAGAGAAGAGAAAGACGTCTAAGGCAGCAGGTAATCGGCAGGCCACAAGCCTTTCTCCGCTACGACGCCCAAAGTAAAGTGTGACGAAGAAAGCAGTCAAGCGCGGAAGAGCTAACTTAATCGGAGATTCGTATCAAGATAAATAAGGGTTCCCATTCTGTTGATAGAAAGAAAGCGAAGCTGGAGTTATGCATCTATATCTATAATGACATAGTTTTATTTTTAGAAGGAGTGGTTTCCCTCTCTTCGGGAAGTGAGACAGACGACTATTTTCATAGAGAGAGAGCACATATTTGGAAATAAATTTAGTTTTTATTGTGCATTCCAAATTTTTTGTATTAACAAATGAAAGTAAATTTATAAGAAGTGCATAACGTGATTATTGGAGCGTCAATAATAATATTACTTTGGTAATATCTTATTTATTTCGTCAAAGAATTATTTAGATGATAAAATTAACATATTTGTCGATTCACTTTGTAATTTTTTTGTGATTTGAACTAAATCGTACTATGTATTAGTAACTAGTAATAATAAGTAAACATAACTCGTCATTTATGAAAACAAAATTAAAATAATCTCGTTATGATTTCAAATAAAGTAAGGCACATGTAATTTTATTTACTGCTACTTATAATTAGAATGTTATTTTTTACTACTAGTAATTTCATGCTAGTTTTGCATCATGCACACACAACACATTACAATATTGGGGTCCAAATAAAGACTTGTAACCTTAAAAAGAAGGGATTTTTAACGAAACACTTTCAGTACTGTTCACTTTTAACGAAAATGACATTTTTACTCTAAAAAAGTTACTCCTGATACTATTTACTTACAACACATTATTTTTCCTTTTGATTAAACTCAAAATTTTCAAACCATTTTCACCCACTCTTTTATTTTTCTTCCCCAATAGAACGTAGGGCCATAATATATATTGTATAAAAGAGTATGAAAAAAAATTGTATATATATATATATATATATCATGCCCAAAAATGTCCCATAACCAAATTAAAGTGTCAATTTTCATTAATTATTAAATCCACAAAAATAAATATAAAAACCAGAAAGTGAGGTTTTTTTTTTTTTTTTTTAGTACAGCGATATATTTTACGTTAACGGGAGGAATGGGTTCGATTAAGTTACACAATGAGCACCTAATTTGGTATTGAATTCACCATTTACGAGATTCGAACCTAAAATACCTCACTCATAAGTGAAGAGGAATATCACCAGACCATAATACTGAGTGACAGAAAGTGAAACTTCTATATATGATTAAATAAATAATTAGAACTTTTGGTAGGACCAAAAGAAGAAAATCATAGAGTACGATGCAAGGCATACATAATGGAAACATATGGGATGTAATATTGTTGTAACATGGCCTCACCCTCACCCTCACCCTCACTGGTAGGTACAGATCCGAACAGGAAGGAAAATTATGCGGTGAATAATTATCTATATAAAATGTGTGCTGTTGGACCAATATTAAAAAGGGTGGTGTTATTCATGCGGTCCAGAACTTATGCAGCGTTTTGGAGACTCAGGTCAAATCATTGAAGATTTTCGATGGTTTGCTTTCATTTTTCCATGTACAAGCATATTTAAAAAAAAAAAAAAAAAAAAAAAAATTCCTAACAGTTGTTATAGCAAATGTGGACTTTTTCATTCGAAATAAGTATATTTGGGGTAGGTTTCTTCACACATTCATTTTTATACTTTATACAGCTATCTAAATTTTTGATCGTCCAATTGATTGAATTGAACATGCTTCAATGATAGACAATAACAGAAGAAATGTAAAAAATAAATGAAATTTTAACAAAAAACTCACAATACTGTTCACTTTAACGAAAAATCATATTTTTACTCTTAAAAATCAATCCTGATTCTATTTACTAACAACATCTTTTTGTCATTTTTGTTAAAATTCAAAAATTTCAAATTATTTTCATTAGTTTTCATAAAAATAAAAAATTGTGTGAGCAACACCGCTTTATTATCAAATATTTATTTCACAAAAATATAAACTATCAAATATTTATATCAGAGGAGAATGACACACTGAATTGTGAGCGTCACAAATAAAGAGGAGGAATTGTTGTGTAAAATAATAGGGTCCACTCCTTTTGGTGTTGGTTTGGCCATATGACTGATTCCAAATAATCTGTGTTTTTTGTTTTGTTTGTTGAGATTTTGGAGTAATTACTACGACAACAAGTCATCGATTTATTTATTTTTTAAATTGAATTAGGCAACTAATCATTTTCTTCAGGCCTAACAATACCATCGCAGGCAAAACGCGTCAAGGACGTTTATACGGCCCAATTGTTAATATCGATGTTTACCAATGCGGTATGCTAGAAAATGAACATATTACTTGTTCAATTGCTTAATTCATAATTTTTGTAGTTGTGTTTTGTAATGCAAGACAGCGTTATTTTTTTTTTATTAGTAAATTACAATTTAACATGCACATGAATGAAATATTAAATTGTGATTAGTTGGATGAATGACAATAGTCCTAGTTTTTATTTTTTAAATGGAGAAAGATGAGGCAATATTAGCTCTCCGGCAAAGTAGTGAGGATAATTATACCCTAAATTTTTTGGTCGTCTCTCCTCCACCAAATTTATTAATAATAATAAAAGTAAACGAAAAAAATACCATAGTCATAGTCAATTCACCTAAGTTAGGATTGAATCATGTATTGCCGCCCTTGTTCATGGTTAGGCCAATTGGCATATTCAAGAGCTTAGATTTTGGCTCCGATATCCTTATCATGGAGGAGGATGTGAGTTCCATGAACAAGTAGTGAACTAATTAAACTTCTTCCTGGTCAACATAAAGAGTATGGGAAACATAATTGATCCATGTCTAAACTTCGGTAGGACTGCTTAATTATGATAACTCTCATATTGACTGGATCTAACATAAAGTTGGGCAGGATTAAAATACAAGTAATTTTATGTTTTTTTAGAGATGTCTTACGAATGACGTGGTCAGAGACTCTGAAAAGTTTTTCTCCGTCTTAGGACATAAGGTACTAGCTTACTGGTAATTGGGGTCAAATGTTTGAGAGCAAACAGTTTTTTATAGCTTGAACATTACAGCGGATCTATTCAACCACTCCATTATCTAGCTCCTGATCTTTGCTGCATCAAAACTATTCCCAAATCCCAAGTGCTGAAATTTGTATGCAGATCAGTGCCATCTGTTTCGCAACGTAAATTGTCTGCTCTAAACAAACCTTTGATTTTTCCAAGTGTTAACAATATTGATTGCAAACATAAACCAAAAGCTTGTGATTTCAAATCATGTTTCTCTTTTGATAGAATCATAATGTTATTAACTGCAGCAACCCTCGTGTACTCGATGAGTTCGGGTGCAAGTGCAGAAATTCAGATGATCATAGCCTTGTTTGAGTAGAATTCAAGAAATTCGTGAACCATTGAACGGAGTCCTTGGGGTATCTCTTGAGCTTGTCCTTATAATCCACGAAGTAGAGACCAAATCGAGAAGTGAATCCAGCCGTCCATTCCCAATTATCCAGTAGAGACCAAGCAAAATAGCCTTTCACATTGCAGCCGTCTTCCCTGCATTCACGAAAACAGAACGATATCAGCTTTTACACCACACAAGATGGACAAGAAAAAGTAGATTCATAGCTAGTGGATTAGTTAAAGGTGGTTGATACTTGATTGAAGCTAGCAAATTTGCAAGATAGTCATGGTGGTATTTAATCCTTTTTGTATCCTTTAAAGCGTCCTTGAGGGAAATGAACAGGCTATTCGGGTCATCCATGCCTGCGAAAAAAATGAAACCAAGAAGCTTAGCTCACTGAAATGTCTCATGAACACGAAGAACTTTTGGATTTCCGATCCCTTCTATTTTGTACTCGAAAATTACCATTTTCGGTGATAATCACTGGAGGATTGCCGTACTTTTGCTTAATGTAGTTCATTAATTTTCTCATCCCCTCTGGGACTATGTATAACCATATAGAATTCGCCTGCAGTTTCACACGAGACATTCATGTCGGATCAAGTAAAAAAATCAAATAATAATAACAGTGCAGCAACTTATGAAAGCTTAACTATAACAACATACCCTATCTCCAATGGGTTTCCCGTTTTTGAATGCTGAAAACAAGGAAGACGAAAAGATAGTTTCAGCTAACAACAAAAGTTGAATGATAACAAGTTACAGAACTCTAACAAGTTGGCCTTCGACTTCCTTATATCTGAATTGGTGATTCCGACAACTTATGAAATAACTGGAACATAGAACGGTTAAGTGGAATATGTAGCGCGTTCAATATGAGTACTTACGAAGGGTAATGGCACCAGAGTCTGAAAGGCTGCCGTTAAGTAGACCTCCGATTAAATCCCTGGTATCGTTTTTACCATAGAAGGTAGTGTAGTGATTAATGCCCACAAAATCCAAGGACCCTTCAATTAGAGTAGACTCGGATTTGGAAAAGGTTGGCAGCCGGCTCCCAACCCTACTTTTCATAGAGCTTGGATAATCCCCAAAAATAAATGGATCAAGAAACCTGCAGTCCCAACATAGTGATCACACAAATTATAAGGCTGTTATTAGTCAAATATAGCTAAGTAGTAAAATCAAACTTGTGGTTACCAGCCAAGCTGAAATTCTTGGGCTACGTTAGTTGCAATGACGTCTTCTGTTGAGTTTGTTTCTGGTTCGTACCAGATAACATCAAATGATGCCCCAACCGATCCCCGCTGTTTTGACTGCAAAGACACCAAGTAGCATCATCAATCAACTTCTGTTGTTAAAAGGTATGCGCATGAATATTTCTTCGTTCCAGCATTCTTACCTTATACTTTCTCTTGTAAATATCAGCCACAGTTCCATGAGACAGGATGACATTGTGAGCAACTATGTAAGGCTCAGTTGTAGAGTTTCCGGACCTGCATAAGAGTGGACGCAGGATAGAGCACCTTCCCGGTGCCTGGAGGCCCGAAGCATATCCATGTACAGAAAATGTATGTGGCTCGTTGAATGTGATCCAGTGCTTCACCCTGTCACCAAAATTTTGAAAGCATGTGTCCGCGTACGTTGCAAAGTCCTTTCTGCAATAGACAAAGGTCATATGAATCACTTGAATCGAAAAGTCATCGTTAATCAAACTTACGAAAATTAGAGGCACAAAATTGTCCGCGTTGATTACATGATTTGAGGGTTGAGCCACCCGTTGTATCTATCTTCCAAGGCTTGAGGGAGGTCCCAGTGATAGAGGGTCACATATGGTTCAATTCCTGTACACATACAGAGCTTAATGCAAAGTCGGAAGTACGTATAAAGTTCTTAGAACAATGAAAATGTAAGAGGCACCTTTGGCTAGTAATGCATCGATGAGACGATTGTAGTAATCAACACCCGCCTGATTAATTTGCCCGGTTCCATCTGATATACAAAAAGCTCACAGTTAAAATTTGTTGAACTAATCTTGTATGTGAAATAAACACTGATATAACTGATAGAGATTACTGGGAAAAATCCGAGTCCAGGATATCGAAAATCTGTAAGCATCCAGTCCCATGTCCTTCATAAGTTGCACAGTCTTCCTGCTTGCAAATGATTTAACATGTTGCTAATCAGGCATAATTAAAGACAAATAGTTCTATTTAACAAGCAAGAAAAAGCAAACGATAGTTTGGGTACTAGACTTGCCTTATAACGGTGATACTGATCCAAAGCAACATCTGCATTGCTGAAATCAGCTATCTTACCTGGAACGCAAGGCAAATGATCCGTACGCATTAAGCGTTGTACGTTTATGAATTGTACTCTAAAACATGGACGATTTGGGTGTTATCGAAGATGTCTCTATGTGATCGTCACACTTTTCATTTAACAATCACGTGATGAGTGAGACACTCACATAGCGTGAAATCGGTAATATGATAGAATCTCTTGTATGTTTCTTAATTGTTCCCTAAAACATGGACGACTTGGGTGTTGTCGGATATATGTCTCTTTGTGATCATCTCACTTTTCACTTAACGATCACGTGATGAGTGAGACACTTACATAGCATAAGCCAGTAATATGATATAATTTCTCCACATAGAGACCTACTCTAGAGTTGGTAAATGTTTCAAATTATGGCCAAAATAATATAAATGAAACAAAAAAAAAAAAAAAAAGGATCAAGCACAAATAACAAATTATTACCAAAAGTATGTGAAAAGGTGTCCCAGATCGAAGGCCCTCTTCCATCCTCTTTAACCGCACCTTCGTACTGACAAATATAAGAAGAAAAAAATGTAAATAATTTTGTTTTTATACCCATAGTCCTCAAATAATTTGTGCGACATATCCAAAAATAAAAATAATATTAATAACCTTAAATAATTATAAAACAAAAACAATATTTGGTTGATGAAAAGAATTATTAATCTTGTTTTTTAAAAAATTACAAATTCAAGGGTGTTCAATCAAGATTTTAAATGAATCTATGGAAGTTCCTAGGTATTCAACCAAAATTTAGGTCATAAAACTCCATAGAAATTTTGATGTATTTAATCAGGATTTTAAAGTAATCCATAAAATTTCATGTGTGTTTATTTAAGAATTTATTTTAAAGTATTTTTAAAAATTAACAATTTTAATGGATTTAGAATGATTTTATAGTGTATATTAGGCATAGAAAATCAGGTGTTTGACCTGAATTCACATGAGTCTACGAAACTCCACCACAACTCCACCAAACTTCACAAATTTATAACTCTTTTAAAAACCTTTAAAAATCTCAATTAAATATACTCCTCTTAATCTTTTCGTGGTCCCTATATATATATATATGAAAAAATAAAATAAATATCAAAGGCCGGTTTGCAAATGTTGCAAAGGGAGTGGTCCATTTTTTAGGCTAAAAACAGGAAGAGCCCGGAAAATGAAGGGGTATTTCGGTAATTGACACTCCTCGAGTGGGTTTGCCGAGCAAAAGAATTTAAAACCCGGAAAAGCCCCTATGTTCCCAGTTACATTGTATCTTCACGAGATTACTGTGAATCTGCATATGCAAGGGCCTTGCAAATTACAGTTTGCAATTTTGTTTTAAACAAGCTATATTATGAGGACGAATCAAACTCGAGACCTCGAGTGCTCGGACGTTGGTTTGAATGTTTTTAATCAAATAAATTACATGCACTCGCACCTAACTTACAATTACTAGTTAAGTTTTAAGAGGAACAGAACGAGAAAAACGTCAAACTCAAAGCATATCATGCAAATGCAAAGCCCAGAAATTAATCACGGATTACTGGGAACCCCAAACACTTAAAAAACAGAAAATTATAATCAAGAGAAATAATGATTGATTCGTTACCTTTTACCACCAAGTTAACAACAGGATAAAAGAGTCATTTAAAAAAATACGAACCTGGAAAGCAGAAGATGCGGTCCCGAAAACGAAATATTTGGGAAAGCTGCCCCTGTTGATATCTGAAGCTGACAAACATGTTGGAAACCCAACAGCCAATAGAAATGCTGTAACCACCAAAGCAACGCCTCCTCTTGCCGACCCCATCACTTCACAATGACGGCGACGCCGCGTCGGCGGCGATATTGAGAAAGAGATTAGCTAGCTTCTAACCCCTGCTTAATTTGAGAGAGAGAGAAACGAAAAAAATACAGGGCGAGGAATTTGCGGAAATGGGTGAGGGAGAGAGGTGGGGCTGGGAATAAGGTAACAGTATTTATAGTGGTTGAGTGAGTAGGTTATTTGTAGTGAGAGACAGACAATGTGAAAATGGGTGGTTGAGTTCGACAAGGCAGTAAAAAGGTTGTGCAGTGGTGGTGCCACCACCAAAAGTGGCGGCGCCCTCCAGAAGAGAGAGAGAGAGAGAGAGATGTGTTATTGGGTTGTGGGGGAATGAAAAACCAAAGTCCTGAGTTCACACGTTTTCATACCAGAATGAGAAACATGGTGGCATGGTGCATATATATATATATATATATGATATGATCATATATGTATTTGTGTATGGATTAATTGGATTCAGATTTCAGATTGCGAATAAATTAATTTTTAAACTGTTATATCCTCCTTTTTTTGCATTGCCCTTGCTTTTATCAATCATGCTGAGATGAATCTGATTGCTTTCCAGCCTCTCTTTTGTTTTGGAAGTATATATCCTGTGCGGTATAGGCACGCTTGGCATTGCCAACTTTGGTTCTAGGAAATGTATGTTAATATATTTCCAATATTATAATGGATTGATTACTGACGTTCCGAATTAGAATTAATTATTGAGAAATGTTTGGCAGATTAAATTTTTAGATCATTTTTTTATAAAGCATATAATGTGACGGTTGATATACACGCATATATTAGGATTATTCATACTTTACTTGATTCATCACCTTGTGTTTTCACGACAGTGTAATAAGTGATGTGCATATGTCATGTCAGTTAATGATATTCGAATATAGCAGAATACAAGATGTGATATGTCTGCACTATTAGGATACAAATGAAATAATAGCTTGACTAACCAGATTGGGTTAAACAAATGAAATAATAGCTTAACTAATCAGATTGGGTTAAGTATGGTATACAAGCAACAATCGACTTTTAGTTACTGTCATCTGATTCCGTACCAAAATATGGATGGTGGTATGTCCTTGATTCTTGGTCAGAAATGGTAAGTCCATTTTAACCGAATAATCAAACAAAATTGAAATACATTGTTGCGTGAGAATCGATAAAAATTTCAAAACGGACTTGCCTTTTTGTGATGTCATTTCGTACCGTTGGCTCCTATTCATAGCAGGCTCTTGAATTTTGATACGATTTCGTGATTTATAGAGAGATTTTTAGTATGTCAATAATTCAATTCTATAAATACAATTCGGTACATTAAGTATATTATCTTTTTAGTCTTAATAATATTCACCATCTAGCTATACAGATGCCAGCTTGACATGCATACTTGATTCCGCATATCAGATTGTACAATAGATTGGTTAGGAGTATATTTTTGCTCCCTAACCTAAAGTGGTATTAATGCTCACTTCCATGTTAATTAGCGTTATATTAATTTAAATTTCAAAATTTATGTAATATATAGATTGAACCAAATTCATCCAACAATGATCAATGAGATGATGACAATTAAACAAGTATTCGATACCAATTATCGAGTAGTGGCTATCAGGTAATTTTTTCTTAATTAGGAATTTTACTGATGGTCAAGAATGTTTGTCAACTTTGATTAGCAAAGGCAATTCGAACCTTGAAGCAAAGCAATCTGTTTTAACCATACGAGCAAGTCAATTAATTTAAGGCAATTTTACTTCGCGAAAGCAATTAACTTAAAATAGTAGTTTAATTTGTCTTCAAACTACAGGTTATACAATTTTATAATATAAACCACGTCGTCTCCTACTTTGTATTTGTTTTCCGTACAAGCATAGTCTTCTTCTATACAAGCATCGTCCTCGTCATCATTCTCCACACATCAAGTAGTTATCCCAGATGGAAGGGCATCGTATCCTTTTCTTTTAATTCATCGAATCAGTAAATCTGTATTATTAAAATTTGATTCAACGATAACAAACCGGAGACCATTTTAAAGGTTATAATAATTTCAGCCATTTGATTAAATTTCAATGACACAAATTCCTTAATTTAATGGATTAGGAGGAAGGGATCTGAATATGATATCTTTCCATCCCAAATAAAGACCATGCAGAATATAAAATATAATATTACATCATTTTCGCTGACGTGGGCATTGTCGTATTAACTAGACGTGCCCCTCCCAAGCTGACTTCGAATATTCCTCCTTCATAAATTGTTTTAAAGAATAATTTCAGAGAAAAGAGTCATAAATCATAAAGTTTATTCAACATATGATGGTATAGTGAAACTGTGTGTTTTTCCTTAATAACGATATTGGAGAATATTCGGACTACCACACGTTACGTCATTTGTTATCGAACTTACCAACTAGATATGTCGAATCTGATATATCGCACTTATAAATATGAAAGAATATCACTAGATTATAACTTTAGTGACTTTTTTATTTATAAATTTTTTAATTTTGAGAGCTGCATTTGCACCTATTTTTCATGTTTTTTTTATTTTGGTTAAGAGGTGGGCTGAAGCCCAACAAACAAAACCCATAGAAGATGGGAAAGCAGAATGTCTACTCCTGAAGGCCCAAACTAAGCCCACGACCCAGATAATGGCCCAGTGGGTCAACATAATTCAAGTTCAAACTGAGGTGGGATAACAAAACCCTAAACCTGTGAATTCTCGGGATTGGAAAAAAAAAATGGAAGACGATGAAGAAGCTCCACCTATCGCCGTTGAAATCGACCAACCGACGGAACCCTACTCTCGGCAGCAGCCCAATTCATCTAGTCGCATAGACGACGACGTTTCGGTCGGTGTCACCGTCATCACCGGCTATCTTGGCGCCGGAAAATCCACTGTAAGCTCACTTCTTTTTTGTTTTGCTATATTTTTTTCCATTTTTTGGAAAAGATAAGAGCTTTGAGTATGTTTTCTTGGTTTGCGAATTGGGATTGCTCAGCTGGTTAATCATATATTGAATTCCCAACACGGGAAGAGAATTGCTGTGATATTAAACGAGTTTGGTGAGGAAATTGGCGTGGAGAGAGCGATGATTAACGAAGGAGATGGCGGTGCGCTTGTCGAAGAGTGGGTGGAGTTAGCAAATGGGTGTATTTGTTGCACTGTTAAGCACAGTTTGGTGCAGGCATTGGAGCAACTTGTTCAGAGAAAAGAAAGGTTTTTGACAACTGTATTGAAATTTGTTTGCTTTTGTTGAAATTGTTTTCTTTTTATTGTGATTTTGATGAATTTGGGATGTGAGTTTTCGGTTTGATTTGGTTGTAGACTTGATCATATATTGCTTGAGACTACTGGGTTAGCGAACCCAGCTCCGCTTGCTTCGGTTCTGTGGTTGGATGATAATCTAGAATCGTCTGTCAAACTTGATTCAATTATCACTGTAAGTTCGGATTCGTTTATCTAGTTTGTTTCTGAAATTTGTGTTAATTTTGATATTGGATGGATTATGTGCCAGTGATGTATTAAAGTTTTACCAAATTGATTATGGCCATTTGAATTTTGGAACTTGCTTTGGTAAATGCTTACTGCTTAGTTAGCTGCACGACATGGTAGTAAATGTTATTTCTGTCGGTTCTGTCTTACGTATTTTAAATACTAACTGAGCTTGTTCTGTCCTTTTTTCTAGAGAAGTTATGCAATTTTTATTTTGTAAGTTAGTAGTAAAGGCTTATTCCTCAATATCTTTAACAGGTTGTAGATGCCAAGAACCTCCGTTTTCAGCTCAGTGAAAATCGAAGTTCATCTTCATTTCCTGAAGCATATCTTCAGATTGCGTTTGCGGTATGGTCTCTTTATGACTTACCTTATTTGTTCTTTATGACTTACTTTTATCTGTTGTCTATCTGTGTGTGTGTGTGTGTGTGTGTGTTGCACTTCTAGTCTTATGAGTTTGGTTGTTTGTTGTAGGATGTTATAATTCTTAACAAGGTTGATTTGGTTTCTCCAGAGGATTCTGCCAATTTTCTGGAGGAACTGGAGAAGGAAATACGTAGTATTAACTCACTTGCTAGTATCATTCGTTCTGTTCGTGGTCAAGTTGACTTGTCCAATATATTGGACTGTCGGGCCTATGATGCCACGGTGAGTCATGCATATCTCCATTTTTTTGGTTGTATTTGTTGTTCATACCGGTCTTTTAATAATATTCTGATTTTACTCTGAAAAATAATATTAACATTTTCCTTCTCAGCATGCTACCCATTTAGAATCATTATTGGAAGAAAGTCGTACTCTGTCTACAAGTGATCTTCATGATAGTGGTGTGCGAACTTTATGCATTTCCGAGCTACAGCAGGTTGATCTTGAAAAGGTATTCATGTGAAATAGTTATAACATGATTTCATTGAGTTGTTTGAAATCAATTACCATTAACTGTTTGGTGCTGTGTTAACAACTTTTCAGAAAGGTTGGCATTCATCACATTACATTTTTGTAATTTTGATTATTCATATGTGAACTATGACTATATAGTAGCCAGAGAAAATCAACTGTAATGACTTATTTACGATTTCCATGGCTAACATCAATTGTTTATGAACTAAGAGTATATGGTAGCCAGAGAAAATCAACAGTTATGACTTATTTACGATTTCTGCGGCTAACATCAATTGTTTATGAACTAAGACCATATAGTAGCCAGAGAATCAACAGTAAAAGACTTACTTACGGTTTCTGCGGCTAAAACTGTTGTCTTAGAGATAGTGGATGCTTATTTCCCATTGCTGCAATTTTTCGAAAATCAACAGTAATCATATCTATCTGTCATTAATGTCTGACGGTCTTGTTCAAAAGGTTCGTTTGTGGATTGAGGAGATTCTTTGGGAGAAGAAAGATGGCATGGATGTATACCGCTGCAAAGGGGTTTTGAGCATTCATAATTCAAATCAATTACATACTTTGCAGGTACTGTTCAATATCAAATTATGCGACTGCTTCTCTTGAAAAGTTTAGTCTTATGCTGCAATTACTTACTTTGCGGGTTGATCCTGTACTTATGTGGTAAATTGTTTTCATATTGTCTTCGGCAGATATTATGTGCTATCACTGAGTCTTGTTATTCACACACCTATTTTTTCATCGATAATGGCAGGGAGTGAAGGAGATATATGAGATTGTGCCAACTCGTGATTGGAAAACGGAAGAAACTCAGACGAACAAGATAGTGTTTATAGGTAAAGCCTCTACTCATGTCGTGTTTTCTCAAACAGTTCCATTTACTTTATTGATTTGTTTGTTCGTTTCTTTGTTTCACCTACAGGTCATAATCTAAATGAGAATGTTCTCGCCGAGTCTTTTAGGTCGTGCGTAGTTTGTTGATTTTGAACACTCTCAATTATATACGGATTCATTATGCTACGTTGAACTCTCATTGTTGTTTCGGTTGAATACATTAAATTAGAGTTGTAAACTCTCTCGATGTGTTATAACATGATGAGTGCGGATTGGTAATACCACGTGAGTTGTGACACCAAAAAAACTTCTCGATAACTAATTCGCCAAAAAACAAATCCCATATCAATTGAATTACTTTCCTACCATTTCCTAGGTAAAAATCGCTTGTGTCAAATCAAATACTGGGCCAAAAGTACTGGATGCTTAATGTTCTGCTATAAACATCAAAACGAAGGAGCTGCATTTGCTATTTCAATGAAGCACTAGACTGCTTCTGCCCCATCACTTTGGTAACTCCATCTTCAACGGTGCCGGCAGATGATTTTTGCAGTAGTTCGAGCAATCCCTGTCCATACTCGATTGCTGGTTGATTCGAAACCTCCTTGTTTATAATTTGGCATACCACGTACCTCTCGATCTGAAACAAAGAGAACAAAAACTTCACAACCTAAAACAAAAGCATATTACAAGAACTTTTGTACATAGTTTACGGCCGTACCTTATTCTTAATGCTTTCATTCAGCACATGAGCAGGTACTACACGAGGATTGAGCCTGTATTCGTTCATGACAAAGGGAGTTTTGGTCCCGTTTGGCGCCTGCCCCTTGTAGAACTTCATGACGGTTTCAAACCCGACGATTACATTGCTGTCCTCGAACAAAACCTCCTCTTCGTCATCGATCACCTTCCAGTAACCACCATTTGTAGCCGTCTTAATTATCTTGCCTTCACGAGCGTCAAAGGGTTCTCTATTGGCGAAGTAATAGGCAGCATTGAAATCGGCTGTATGTCTGAAGTCACCTGCGAGTCACAGAACAATAAAGCAATCAAATTTGAACCTAAAACATGGACTGAACTCACTAGCTGCATTAAAACACCAATCAAATTGAAACTCACCATTCGGCAGCTGATTTGGATCACACTCGTACACATCAACCTCTTTTATAAGATCGTAGGTAGGCATTGCGCGGTCCATAATCTTGTTAAACAGGTAGTACACAAGAATCTCATCTCCGGTGGGATCAAATCGATACCCTAACGGTAACCTGATCTCCGCATCTTTCTTGCCCTCTTGGACCGTCGAACACTTCAACAGATCAAACCCCTCGTTTTCGTCAGCAGATTGGGAAGCTGAGGATGCCATGGAGGAAGACATGGACAATGATGCAGTTGATGTTTTCTGTCACGGTTTGAGATTTGAGCTCTTGAGTTGTGGGATAAACCTTGTTTTTACGAACCTATACACATATATATAGTGAAGATAAAGCAATAAAAACGGGAATACGTATTGAATTCTAGCACGTGCAACCCTAATACATGTAGAACTCAGAGCTTTTACTGTTCTTACAGGTACGAATCACCTATCCCAATTTTTTCTGGATCATATAGATTTTGGTTTGAATTAAAGTTTTTGTAAAAGTTAGCTAAGCCAAAAAGGTCACAAGACTCGATTCATAATGCAAAGCCACAAACATAATAATCATAATAATCAAAACCGTATAGAATAGGAGAAATTTTTTAGCGCAGACGGACATGAAATCTCGGGTGGAGATCATACCAAATACTCAAATCTAGTGATTTGGTCCCACCCACCCTCTAGTCCTAGTCTCACATTTTTATGTCTGGTGTCCAGTGTCCTATATAGAATAGAAGAATCTTTCCTGAAACGACTAAAGCGAGACGAAGGTGAGGTCGGGTGAGACATACTCTAACTCAATACATGTATTTTGATCCTACCCTCCCTCCGGTCCCACTCTCCTCATGTGTGGTAGTGGTGCCCTTATAAGGAAATGGGATTCACTCTGGATTTTGTGTCTGGAGTTTCGATAAATCTAAACCATTCAAGAGAGTAAAAGATTCGGGCTGTTCAAGTTTTTGGGTCTTTGTGAAGTGGATTAAATAAACCGTAAAGTTGAAATTAAGTAATCCGGATCTCTCCTTGTGCGAACTCCGACACGGACGGACACAGAGATATGGAACGAATCTCAATCCCCCATACGGCCATTGCGACACAAGAATCTCTCCTTCACACTGCATAGGTAAGTTTTCTAACACAAATGGGAGAATTGTGAGGCCGGATGAGACGAAGACAAACACTTAAACCAAAGATTTACACAAGATTTACCATGACTCAAGTTCGAATCCGGTACTGTAATTTAAACTATCGCATTTGTGAAAAGATCATCCTCCATAACAGAACCAAAATCAAAGCTCCAAGGTTGACAGGGAAAGAGAGTGCGAATATTAAATTTACAAAAGAATTGCATAAGCAAACGGAGACGAAAAACTTACCGGGATTTCGTACTAGTCGGAGCCGAAAACCAGAGACGGAGAGAGGAGGAGAAATGCGATTGCGATTGGCGTGTGTAGGGTTTTTATAGCGCTAGAAGTTTGAAAGAAGACGACGACATTTATTTGCATTTATTTGCATTCATAACGTCTTTCACGGGATCCGTGCGATGAAATCAACTGTTACGATGAATTGTCCCATCGACCCACGCGAGTCTTGGTGTCCAAGTAACGGGGACTCGCAGCGAATCAAAAAATAAACCACCGCCGAATCCCGTTCCCAAATAATTCAGCTGTTCGGGCCGGGTCGGGTCTGAGTTGGCGAAATTACTAAATTAGGGCACAATCCGAATAGTTTGTTTAAAATGTTTAGTATCCCCCACCGACGTCGTTTTGCCTTTTCCCCGAAACCCTTCTTCCTCTTCTTTGCTGTAGGCTGTAGCAGAGCGGCTTTACTCTTTGTGTTCTGTATGAGTTTTGATTCCTCCTCCCGGTTCCAGCTGAAATCGTCTTCCTCTTCTCGTCGAACAGGTACTTCTCAAGCTCCGGTCTTCTCGTTTTCTTCGTTAATTAATCTCTTAATCTCGTTTTAATCATGTTAATTTTGTCGACTCTTTAGATTCTGGTGTTGTTACTCGTATCAATTTCCGTATAGAGTTCTTGTATGTTCGTTGTAATCATTAATTAATTAAGGTTCTCGGTCTGCATGGTGGGAGGCTTTGCTTGAATACCGGTTGAATTTGAAAATTTTCGTAGTTTTGGTTTTGAATTCATGTCATTTTCTGAATTGGTGTTCGTTACCAGCTCCGAGAGTGCCGAATGAATCGTAATTTCACTACAACGGAAATATTATAACGAAAATTTCCTCACATCTGAATTGAATCTGATATCTTTTCAGATATGGTTTATATCTTTGTTTGTTGGAATGGGATTATAGGAAGATGGTAATTGCGATTAACGAAGTATTTCTTTCGTGCTAATCGTTAACACTGTGTATGTGAAGTAGCTGCTATTGGAATTTGAAGAGTTGCTTCTGGATTTCGAGGAGTTGGGATTTATTTTGTGTCATTAGACGAAAGTATATTCTTCTGCAAATGGCATTGGTTGTGATTTGTGGACAACCATGCAGTGGGAAATCAAAGGCTGCGCTCTGCCTGGCCGAGGCTCTCAAAGAATCGGGATTGAACCAGATAGTTAGGGTTATTGATGAGACTTCCTTTCATCTTGACCGTAATGAAAGCTATGCCAATATGCCTGCAGAGAAGAATTTAAGAGGAGTGCTAAGATCTGAAGTCGATCGATCAGTGTCAAAAGACAGTGTTATAATTGTGGATTCTTTGAATAGCATCAAGGGTTACAGGTACGAATTGTGGTGTTTGGCTCGTGCAGCGGGAATCAGATACTGTGTTTTATTTTGCGATGCTGATGAAACACATTGTAGAAAATGGAATGAAGAGCGCAGGGGGAAGGGAGAAGCTGCTTATAGTGATAAGATATTTGAAGATTTGGTGAGAAGGTTTGAGACACCAGAGAGAAGAAATCGGTGGGATTCCCCGATGTTTGAGTTGTGGCCGCATAAAGAGGGAATAGAAAAAACTTCTGCTGCCATTCTAGATGCTATTTCGTATTTGACAAAGAAGGCAGACTCGAAGTCACGGGATGTTAAAACTTTGCAGCCAACTATAGCAACACAGAACACACGTTTTTCCGAGGCAAATTCTCTGTATGAATTGGACAGAGCAACGCAGGAGGTGATCAGTGCTATAGTGGAAGCACAATCGCAAGCACTTGGAGGGCCTCTAAATGGAGTTTCTGTTGCTCAGGGGTTGCCACCTATCAATATTTCAAGATCAGTTGGGCTTCCAGAGCTTCGTAGGTTGAGGCGAACTTTCATAAAATTGACAGGGCAAACGAGTTTAAGTGGGCGACCTCCACCTTCTGATGCAGACAGTGCAAAGCGGATGTTTGTTGATTACTTGAACAGGGAACTGGAAACTGCTTGAAGGAGGAAAGCAAGGATGATATCAAAGTTTTCGGGAGGTTTCCTTCAGTTGTCTTTGTTCCACCAGTCTAGTTTGCGCCAGCTTCCTGCTAGCAAACATCGACGAATCATTCCTGCTTCAACCGACGGGAACTGGTACTGTGTTTGCCTAGACTTGTACCAATGTCACTTATTCACCACACCGAACTACAAATCCAACAATGTACTATTCAGAAGCTGTTCTTTTTCGTACTTGCAATTGCATTCTTAGTATTCTCACGTTGTGTTTCGTAGTTAATAACTTGATGGAAATGGCATGGCTCCGAAATCTGAGATGGATTCTTAGTCTGCCTCGAATTCGAGCATATCGATTTTGTTAATTAGTAGTTGCTGATAAGATCTTTGAAGAAGATTAAGGATTGAAATTGTCTGAAATTCTGGATTAAATTGTTTATTTAGTTGTCTTTTTTCAAGTGCATTATTGTACAGACAGAGAATAAGCCTGAGAGCCACATGTTTAGAGGTTATGGAATTAAAAGCTGTCAATTTCTCCTTTGACCAAACAAAAATTTCACAGCTAATATTCTTCCACCACCACTCTGGATCTGCAGAGTTGGCAAACAAAAATTTCTTATTGACTCCATTTTGATCAAGTGCCCTTGGCGATGGAAGGTTATGAGCTTGGAGGTGATTTCAAAGTGACTAAAAAGTTTTAGTGAATATTGATTTAAAAAACATTTTCATTAAAAACGTTTTTAGTAGTTTTAAAAGCATTTGCAAATGAGTTTTATTATTGAGGACATAAGATTACTTACGCGATTTTTTTATATCTTGGACTTGTATCTTTCGAGAAGCGAATTTTTTTTGCTCATGTCATTGCTAGCGTTGAATACTCCATTCATGATTCTTATATTTGAGATAGGATTTTACCCATTATTGCTAGAAATACTTTTCTCTTCGATTATTTGAAACATGTTGAAATTTTTGTGAAGGGGTTTGGTGAAAGGGATCATCTTCAAATCCCTTCCACCTAATCCATCCTCTTCATCAAATAATCCAGACTCTTGAAATTTGATCAAACGACTAAAATTATCATAACTTTTAAAGTGGGCCCGTATTTTTAGCCATTAGATCAAATTTCAAAAATCCAGATTATTTGATGAGGATGATTAGGTAGAAATGATGCGGGGAGAATCCCTTCCTGGTTCCCAAAACGCAACCGTTTCCTTGTTTGCATTGCACCGAACGGTACATTTCTTTTTTCTTCCGGAAATGAAAAGAAAAAGTGAAAAGAAAAGGCAAAGGGAAGTCCGGAAACATTTTGACAGCGACGTGCTTGAAATAAATAGTTACAAACTTGAATTATTGGAGAGGATTATCTTCTGATGGACAGCAATTAACCACATGGATTATGATTAGCACTGAAAACAGTGATTAAAACTAATTAATCATCAATAGAAAACTAATTAATCCGGTTGCCAATGACGGCTAAATCACAGCCGTTGATTCTATTCTATTTATATGTCGACGCTTAGTTGTAGTGTTTGCATACGTTATGGCGTAAACATAATACAGCCAAGAACTAAAAATTAATTATAAATAATTTAATAAAAAGTGCAAGAAGCGGTAAATAACAATGATTCCCAATTAATTAATTTAATGATTTTTTCTGTCTAAATCAACGAGCCTCTGGATCTGATGATCGACAACACGAACACAAACAAAAATAATAATAAAACAAAAAAGCTCAAAAATAACTAGAATTCCTATAAATTTGGACTCACAATAAAAGCTGACTCTTTCTCCGGTTTGAGGCTTTGAATCTCCACTCTCCAACGAACCCAAAAACCGGTAAGCATTTCCCCAAAACCCTAGTAATTATCAGTTTTCGGAAATGGGTTTCTGTTTTTGTTATTAAATTCGATGTCTTTTTTGGATTTTATTGCTTTTTGTTCATGTGTTGGATGATTGGTTTGATTTTGCTTTTGATTGGATCGGATTGAAAGTTTTTGGATTTTCCATTTCGGGATCTGGAATTTGGTTAGTGATTTGTTAAAATGGAAAGTCATGGCATTTATTTTTGAGCTAATGCTATGTTTGGTTGCTGGGAAAAGGGTGGAAAATTGAGAAGTGAATTTGGAATCTTGTCAGTGGATTCTGTTGTGAGATTTAATGGTAGTTTTCTCAACATCCAAATGGAGATTTTTGATTTGGGACTTTATTGTTAGGAATTTAATTTTGTGGATCTTTGGATTTTGTTGCAGGTTGGTCTTTTGCTCAACACTTGTCATTGTCCATTTCTTTCCGAATTCGGCTTTACATTCGCTGTGGGAAGTTTTAGAATTTTACTGATTCGTAATTGAGTACTGAATTGTGTTGGGGTTGTGATCTTAACTTTGTGTCCAAGTAAGGATCACTATGGATTTACACACTGATTTATGAGTCTCTTGGCGCGATCAGAAAGCGAAGATTTGTGTATGTCGTTGTGGAAGAAGTGGAATTTATTGTTTCAATGCTTGTAGGAATTGTCCGGATTCACGGCAATATATATAGAAGCTTGTAGTTTATGATAGGTTATGGTTTTCGCTGTTCTTGGAGATTTAAGTGCTTGGTGATCTAGTGGGGGTTATTTTGGAATTCTTAAGTCAGGTTTTCACTACTTGGACATGAGAAGCTCCTGGTTCACTAAACTCTCCCTCATTTTTGGCCCTAGACCGCCACTCAGTTGGTTACTCTTGTGTGTTGTTAGTGTACTCGCACTAATTGCAGTGCTGGGATCATCTTCTTCTCATACATTTGACTCTTTAATTATCACTCCAGCACCCGACATATATACAAACTATAGGAGGCTAAAGGAGCAAGCGGCGGTTGATTATCTGGAGCTGAGGTCTCTTTCATTGGGGGCTAGTCGACAAAGAGAGCTTGGCCTTTGTAGCAAAGAAAGAGAAAATCACGTGCCTTGTTACAATGTTTCAGCAAACCTTTTAGCCGGGTTTAAAGATGGGGAGGAGTTTGATCGGCATTGTGAAGTATCAAGAAACAGAGAACGGTGTCTAGTTCGCCCTCCTAAGGATTATAAGATCCCCCTGAGGTGGCCAGCTGGTAGGGATGTGATATGGAGTGGAAACGTGAAGATAACCAAAGACCAATTTCTTTCATCTGGAAGCATGACCAAAAGGTTCTTCCCAGTTAAAGTTATATATTTGACCGCTTTTAAATAAGCGATGACTCAACCCCAGTGATTTAAAACATTTACGTTTTTCAACTGTAAAAATTGAATTAGTTTCTATGTTGTTTTTCGTTTTTCTCTGTGAGTGAATAGTTATTTCTGTACATAATTATTCTTTAACTTCTTGATAAAAATATTCAGGTTGATGCTACTAGAAGAAAATCAAATTGCCTTTCACTCTGACGATGGTCTGATTTTTGATGGTGTCAAGGATTATTCTCTTCAAATTGCAAAGATGATAGGTTTAAAAAGTGACTCTGACTTTCTTCAAGCCGGTGTAAGTTTTCTTTGGGAATTAAAGTCGTAATTATCAGTTTTTACTCTCTTCGGCAGCGTGACTGTTAGATTTCAAACAGGCCAGAATTTGTTAACACGTATCTCTCTGTTGTCTCATAGCGCAAAAATTAAGTTTATGTTGGAAGCAAAACAAACCAAGCTACTTTTGCTTGCTGTTGGTGACAATGTAAAGTCTGACTGGTGCGTGATTTATTTTAATACATCTACTTTAAACTACAGGTGCAAACTGTTCTGGATATTGGTTGCGGTTTTGGTAGTTTCGGAGCTCATTTAGTATCACTGAATGTAATGGCTATTTGTATTGCGGCATACGAGGCAACTGGCAGTCAAGTTCAGTTGACCCTTGAGAGAGGTCTTCCAGCAATGATTGGAAACTTCATTACAAGACAGCTTCCTTACCCAGCATTGTCATTTGAAATGGTTCATTGTGCTCAGTGCGGTATTGTTTGGGACAAAAAAGGTAATTGGGATTTCCATTGAGCATATTTCTTCCTTTGGAGTTGTCCTTTGCTTTTTTCCAAATATTCCTCTCATGGAACCTTTATTAATTCATGAATCAGATTCGATGTTGCTTTTAGAAGTTGACCGGGTACTCAAGCCCGGAGGCTACTTTGTTGTAACCTCATTGACAAGCCAACCATATGGAAGTTCATTGAGCATGAAGAATAGCATGTTCACAACGATGGAGGAATTGACCCCGAAAGTCTGTTGGACTCTAAAAGCTCAGCAATATGAAACTTTTATCTGGCAGAAAACTGTGGATTCTGATTGCTATGCATCTCGGTGAGGGTCTCTTGTGGATAATTTTCTAGTTTGACATGTGATAATCAGTACTGTTTGAGGCTTTAGTATTGACTTGCGCCATTGAGCTAGAGTATTTCAAGAGCTCCACTTATTTCTTTTCCACTGCAAAAGAACCTTACTGATGCTTTGCTTTTTATTATTTATTGTAGTAAGCAGGGTGCTCTACCAGTTTGTAATGAAGGGCACGACGTTCGATCATATTATAAGCCTCTCGTATCATGTATAAGTGGGACCACCAGCAAACGCTGGGCTCCAATCCGAAATAGGTCCTCTAGTCCCCATCGATTGAGCTCGGCCGAGCTTGAAGTTCATGGAAAGTTTTGTTGCATCATCATTCAGTTCTACACTTCACTTCACGGTGTTCTGCCAGCATATTGATACCCTTTTACCCTTGCAGGAGTTCAGCCTGAAGATTTCTTTGAAGACTTACAGGTTTGGAGATCAGCTCTGAAAAACTATTGGTCTTTGCTTACACCCTTGATTTTCTCTGACCACCCGAAGAGACCAGGCGATGAAGACCCATTACCTCCATTCAACATGCTACGCAATGTGATGGACATGAGTGCTCATTATGGGGGTTTAAATGCTGCTTTTCTGGAGGAAAGAAAATCAGTGTGGGTGATGAATGTTGTGCCTGTCAATGCTCCCTACACACTTCCTCTCATTCTAGATCAAGGTTTTGCTGGTGTTTTGCATGACTGGTAAGTCGGTTTCAATCTCTTCACCTAAGTTGATATTAGAAGATTTTTTCTGCGTAATTCAAATGCACTGTTTTTACGGGGAAAAAATAAAGTTAAGAATGGTTAACTCTTTAAGCACGGCTGACAAACTTTGAATGTAAAAAAACTAGGACTCATTTGTTCTCTTTATATCCTATTTTCTTCAGTAGAGTCAGTAGTTGTGATCCATTTAAGCTTTTGATACAGGTGTGAACCATTCCCGACATATCCTCGAACATATGATTTGCTGCATGCAGATGGGCTGCTCTCACATCTCTCTTCAGAGAGGTGCGGCATGATGGACTTATTCTTAGAGATGGACCGGATTCTGCGACCTGAGGTATTTTTATTTCCCTTTTTTGGTGTATGTTGCTAACTTTTAATATTTCCATGTTATGTGTGAAATTGATCATTTGGGGACATGAATTTATGACTGTTTGGCAGGGATGGGTTGTTCTCTGTGATAAAAAGGGAGCTATAGAGATGGCGCGCATGTTTGCTACACAAATACGTTGGGAAGCAAGGGTGATTGACCTTGAGAATGGGAGTGATCAACGACTACTTGTTTGCCAAAAACCGTTCGTAAAAAAATGATTATTTTACTTTAGGAGCCATCATCATTGCGGACGTGTACAATTGTTTTTCCTCCTTTAGCTCCGGTAATTTCTCTCATCTCTCGAGAATCAAGTTTTGATTATTCACCGGAGTCCAGTCTCCTGATTTAGTTGCAATAAGTTATCAGCCCTAGGACGTAGGAGGTTTACAAACGGTAGCAGGGTTTTTTTTTGGCCATGACATCGACTTGCAAGGAGCGAGGAGCGATGTGGAGTTTGGGTAAATCTTGAATTAACTGTCATTTTTGTGTTCATTTTCATTAGCAGATTATGATCTGGGAAGAAAATGTGACTCGTGATCAGAATCCGAAGAACCTCGAAGGCGATCACGAGTCATTACTGGAGTGAGCGTATGTGGAAGCTGTAGATTAGAATATTTCGCACCGAAGTAGCTGCAACTCGTGTATTTTTTGTCAAGGCGTCTGTAGCAATTCATTCGTCCATTTTTTTCTTAGGGCAGATTTTTTTTTTTTGGTTTTATTTGTTTATTCATTTTAATATTTGTAAGAACAAATCCTTGCTGTGTCCAAAATTAAGAGTCTGGACACGTACATTTTCGTGTGATCATAAAAGATGCTGAGTTGAACAATACAGGAATGAAAAATGCATGACATTTTCGTGTGATCATAAAAGATGCTGAGTTGAACAATACAGGAATGAAAAATGCATGACCGTTTGAATGGGATCAAGGCATTCCTTGGTAAACAGTATCATGTAATAGATGAATGTACCTCTTGATCAACCAGCATCTTAGGTTTTATACAAACGTTAGTATAGCCATGAGATATATTGAAGAATTAAAAACAGAGAAGAGTTTTTCTCTAAGGTCTTTTATTCTTTGTTAGTCAAATTCCAGATCGTGTTTTGAGAGTATGAAATATATGAAGTTCGTTAGAGCCCTCAATTGCGTAAGATGCCAAAATGTTTTCGTTTAATATACCATATGCTTCAATTTGGGTGCCCTAATACTAAATTTGAATATATCTAGGCCACGCCATGGTACTTTTAATAGTTGAAATCTGAATGGAGCCTCAACGAAAAGAGTTTCAAAGTCTCTGGGCTCACCCTAAAATGCCAATCAACATCTGGAAATTTGTATCATCCCTTCAAAAGCCAGCTCCTCAAGTATCGGTAGAAATTCTGCAGGGAAAATTTGTATCATCCCTTCAAAAAGCCAGCTTCTCAAGTACCTGCAGAATTTCTAGCCCACCTATCAGATCCATCCCTGCAGAATTTCTACCGGTACTTGAGGAGCTGGCTTTTGAAGGGATGATACAAATTTCCAGATGTTGATCGGTATTTCAGGGTGAGCCCAGAGACTTTGAAACTCTTTTCGTTGAGGCTCCATTCAGATTTCAACTATTAAAAGTACCATGGCGTGGCCTAGATATATTCAAATTTAGTATTAGGGCACCCAAATTGAAGCATATGGTATATTAAACGAAAACATTTTGGCATCTTACGCAATTGAGGGCTCTAACGAACTTCATATATTTCATACTCTCAAAACACGATCTGGAATTTGACTAACAAAGAATAAAATACCTTAGAGAAAAACTCTTCTCTGTTTTTAATTCTTCATGTCAGTTGTGTACACTTCACCTATTAGATCCATCCCTGCAGAATTTCTAGCCCACCTATCAGATCCATCCCTGCAAAATTTCTACCGGTACTTGAGGAGCTGGCTTTTGAAGGGATGATACAAATTTCCAGATGTTGATCGGCATTTCAGGGTGAGCTCAGAGACTTTGAAACTCTTTTCGTTGCGGCGAGGAGAGGGGTTTCCGCGGCGAGGAGAGGGGTTTCCGCCTTTTAGACTGGTTGGGGTTTTGTAGTTCAGTTTGTTGTACTATTGTACGTCCGAAGACTTTAAAGACAACCAAAGATGGTCCCACCAAGAGCAAGTAATTAAAGATGGTCCCACCAAGAGCAAGTAATTTCGGACTGCAGGCTTAACCAAAGATGGTCCCACCAAGAGCAAGTAATTTCGGACTGCAGGCTTTGGGGTTTGCAAGAGCAAGTAATTTCGGACTGCAGGCTTAACCAAAGATGGTCCCACCAAGAGCAAGTAATTTCGGACTGCAGGCTTTAGGGTTTGCAAGTGTGTGTTCAATTTCAACCACCAAGACGGAACGATTGCAGACTACGTTGAGGTAAAAAGCATCGGAGACGAGACTCTATTTGTGGGCGACAATCACTCACTCTCTATTTTGGCCTCCAACATACCTACATGCCGGCCGAACTCCATATACTTCACGGACGGATTTGGATCCTCTCCTGAGCTAATGGAGAGGATCTTCATGACCAATCATCGTGGACTGTTGTATTTTTATCTAACGGCTACAAACAGGAGGGTTCCTTTAAAGTTATAATGATTGTAATCGTTGGATAAAAATCTAATGGCCCACAATGATTGGTCAGGAGGATCCTCTCCATTAGCTTAGGAGAGGATCCAAATACCGATCTAGCACCATCATTTGGCAGGTTTAAAACATCTGATGGAACAAGACCAAGTGATAAGGGTATCTATAACTTGGAGGATGGAACCATCACACAACATTACTCTCTAGATTCAAGATTGCGAGGGTACATACCACCCGCGATTTGGATAGTGCCACCCTTTGATGGACTCTGCTAGTTTCTAAGTTTCGAAATATATTTTAATATGCTTGGAATACAAGTGGTACACTAATTTTCATGCCTCAATTCTTTGTAAAGCCAAAAGTTAATTACTCATCTTTCTTTTGCCCTTTACATCATTACTCTATCAATGTGTTCAACAAAGGATAGTAAATGTCTCGGTTTCATCTTGTCTCTCGGATCTAGACTACACTCGGATGTTTTAGTATTCAAGTTATTATGATAATTATATTTTTATAAAAGCAAACATTAGAGGGTGAACAACACATGGAAAACCTTGAACAACACTGTCAGAAATGACAAACAACATAGAAAAGTTGGTGGTGTTGGGAACACCCGATTCGGTTGAAGAACCGTAACTCTACACACCATCTCAACAGAAAGTATGGCTAAAAAACGAATCTCAGAAGAAGGAGATCGAAGCCCATATGAACAAGAGTAAGGAATGTTAGAAATATAAGAAGAGGATGGCAGATTGAGATGTAGAGGGGGAAAACACATCAGAAAATGGAACACAAAAAACAAAACAAGAAAGGAGAAATTGACAACCGACTCCAACCAAAACTAAAGTTGCCGACACCGATTTTGAACAGATTAGAAACTGTTACAAAAACAGGAGAAAAACTCTCACGGTAAAGAGAATGTCTCTCACGAAAGGAGAGAAGGGCCTAGAACCTAGTTACCATTTAATCTGGGCCAGGGCCATTGACGCGTTGATTAACGAACCCTTCGAAATTCTCAAGTGTGTTTTGGTGGGAGGTTTCATAATGCCTAGACTGGATTGGGACTCCCAAGTCAAACCAAATCCATGGACTCTGATAGCTTCTAGGCTTCTAGCAAATATTGGAGGTGAGGGAATTTGGTGTTGAGCTTTCGACCGTAAAAATACACGCTCTTTTTTAATTGATTGGGTCAAAAACCCTTTTTAAAATTCAACATTTGAGTATGAACAATTAATATGTTTTCATTACTCTTGTCAGTTGTCAATTACGATGTTCATGAGTATCCACAATGTCTTTGCAAAATGTAACATTTGAAATGCTTAAAGTTCGATTTTTATGAATAACAAATTTGATACTTAATTTTGATTAACACAATATGTGGCTTAGTTGAAAACTAGCTCTCGACCCATCATTGTATGAAAAAAAAAAGGAGCACCATGTGCCAATGAAAAAATTTTCAGGCTGCCCAGAACACGACTCGATACACCAAGTATCATATAAAGTGGTTAGAATTTTTATTTTTTTAAGTATCCAACCACTTATACTATGACACTTAGTGTACATGACTGTGTCCTGTCACATTGTAAAATTTCTGTATGCCAACATTACAACTATCTCGCTTATGTGACATCCCTTGTGATGACATACAATCCGATTGGGATCATTACATTTTGCTGGTAAGAACTAAGAAAGGTGTTCAATGGTGCAAGGTAAAATCCCGAAAAAGCCCCTCCGAGAAAAGGGCAAGTATTCAAAGGCCTCCCTTGCCGGTTCTCGCACACTCGCACAAAAATAACAAAAACTGCGCGCTTCCTACTCCCAGTGTCGTCCTCTCCTTCAAACATTCGAAACGGACGGTCGAGATCTGGTCAGGGGCACCCCGCAAGTTGCTCGATGTTTAACAGCAAAAGTCTCTCTCCTTATTTAAACCCGCCATTTCCAATTTCCTCGCATCTCTCCACCCTCCCCCTATTGTTCCACTCAGTTTTACCATTCATCATCGTCTTCCTCTTCGCTTTGATCAATCATCATCTCCCATTTCTCTCTCTGAAACGAAACGATGGCGTCACCCAAGAAGGAGAGAGAGACCCAGGTTTACTTGGCCAAGCTCGCCGAGCAGGCCGAGCGATACGAAGGTCACTCACTCACACCTCACTCTAATTTTCTCCATCTTTTAATCCGTCGCTGTTCTTATGTGTGTATATATATATATATATGCATATGCATATGTGTCAATACTTCTGAGCTCATAAAATATTTTCGTGAGAGGTAATATCTAGAAAAATATTAATATCCATCGCCCTTGATTAAACGAACCAATGATATAAAACCGGGAAGAAAACACATATTATCTAATTAATTAACGAAAAGGATTTTGTTTGAAGTTTATCTCATCGTAATCTCTCTCTTTATTCTTGTGGGATTATGAATCCTCTCGTAATTTTTTACAACAACGGGTTGCATTTGTAACAAAGTTGTTATTTAAAAGGGCCAACTAATACGCTAAACTCTCAAAAAAAATCAGTTTTTTAAGTTTAAAAAGGTTTTCTTATTCATTCATCTCGTACTAGAGATACAAATTAATTAACGAAAAGGATTCCTTATTCTCATGTGATTACGAAACCTCTTGTAATTCTTTATAATAAGGAATTGGATTTGTAACATAAATTGTTATTTAAAAGGGCCAATTAATCTGCTAAAACCTCAAAATTCAAGTTTTTGAAGCTTAAATAGGTTTTCTTGTTAATTCGTATCGTTCTAGAGAGAGACACGAATTGCATTAATTCCATGGACTCTAATAAGAAGCCATGCGTATGGGTTTCCGAATGGGCGAGTCTTCCTCTACCTGCCATCTTTCTGATACTGAACAAGCTCTTTGAGCAGATTGACCATGTTCGTTTCGCCGTTGTTTGCAAGGACTGGCGTTCTCTGTCAAAAGAATATAATCAAGCAACGCAGCGGTGGCGTAACATTCTTCCCATGCTCTTGATCCCCAGCGAATGCCATGACAAGAGCAGCCTCACCACCCGAAAACTAGTCTACAGCATCTCTCAAGGAAAAATCCTCGACGAGCATAAGCTGCGAGTGCTTTTTAGAAAGAGGTGTTGCGGCTCCAGCCACGGTTGGGTGGCCACAATAGAATACCAAACTGACGAAGGTCTCATTATTGCACTCCGCAACTCGTTCAGAAAAGCGTGGTCCATTTATCTCCCTCCCTTGGATGCCAAGGTACCCGAAGGCAACACTGGATATCATGAGTTTTACATTCCAAAGGTTGTCTTATCTTCTGATCCCGCCTTGGACCCCAAAAATTGTGTGGTTGCTGCAATCTGCGGTAGCAATTGCATCTTGGCTTTCACCAAGAGAGGCCAAACGCACTGGACTTATATCAAGCGAAAATTTTTCTTATTTGATGTTATTTTTCACAAAGGCCACGCTTGCACGGTTGGAACATTGAGAACTATCGTGTCGTGGGATGTGACTAGCCTCGATTGTAATCCTTTGGGTCCTCCAAAAGCAAAGATACTTTCGCATCGAAATCGATCCTACCAGGACCACAAGGCCTATCTTGTGGAGCTAACGAATGAAGATCTATTGTACGTCCGAAGACTTTATGAGGCAACCATAGATGGTCCCACCAAGAGCGTGTATTTTCGGACTACGGGCTTCAGGGTTTACAAGTGTGTGTTCAACCACCCAGACGGAACGATTGCAGACTACGTTGAGGTGAAAAGCATCGGAAACGAGACTCTATTTGTGGGCGACAATCACTCACTCTCTATTTTGGCCTCCAACATACCTACATGCCGGCCGAACTCCATATACTTCACGGACGATCTAGCACCATCATTTCGCGGGTTTGAAATATCTGATGGAACAAGACCAAGTGATGATATGGGTATCTTTAACTTGGAGGACGGAACTATCACACAACATTACTCTCTAGATTCAAGATTGCGAGGGTACATACCACCCGCGATTTGGGTAGTGCCGCCCTTTGATGGACTCTGCTAGTTTCTAAGTCTCGAGAGATTTTTTAGTATGTTAAAAATACAGTGGTACACTAATTTTCATGCCCCAATCCTTTGTAAAGCCAAAAGTTAATTGCTCATCTTTCTTTTGCCATTTACATCATTACTCTATCAATGTGTACAACAAAGGATATTACATGTTTCGGATTCATCTTGTCTCTCGGATCTAGACTACACTCGGATGTTTTAGTATTCAAGTTATTATTATAATTATATTTTTATAAAAGCAACCATTAGAGGGGAAGGATTCGATGTTGAGACTTCAGGTATAAAGATACATGCTATTTTTTAATTGATTGGGCTACAAATTCTTTGCAGAATTTAAAATTTTAATACGAAGAATTAATTTATTTTTTTCTCTTGTCAATTGTTAATTAAGATTTTCATGAGTATCTACAAACTCTTTGCAAAATTTTATATTTGAAATGCCTGAATTTTGATTCATATGAATAACGAGTTTAATAGCTAATTACACCTAACACATTATTTGACTTAGCCAAAACTTGCTCCTCTCGCTATCTTTGTCTGAAAAATAAAAAGAGCACCATATGCCAACATTACAACTCTCTTGCTTATATGACATCCCTTTTGATGACATACAATCCGATTGGGACCTTGCATTTTGTTGGTAAAGAAGGTGTTTAACGGTATAAGGGAAATTCCCGAAAACCCTAGAAAATGGATTCCAGTAGAGGTTAAAGGTCGAGCAATGGTGAGAACCAGGTCGTCTGTTTTTCTTTTTTTTTTTTTTTTGGTTCAAGGAAGATTTTATTAACTTATACAAATTACATACACAAGTCCTCACAAACAGAGCCATAAACAAGCAAAAAAAAAAAAAAGGGGGCCAACCAGACAAATCAATAAGAGCCCAGCTAAACAGCTAAGGCCTAACAACCAAGAAACACAAAACAGAGAAATCCGTTGTAGCCGCCTCCATCAAAACAATACATCTCGATCTGCAGAAATCCACGTCCATCACCGAACATTGTTTTACCAAACTCATCATCTGAACCTGAACAGTTTCTTCGAGCACAATCACAAAGTAGAGATAACCAACTGCAAGTAATCAGTTGACTATCAAGATAAAGAAGCCCATGGAAAACCTTGAACAACATTGCCAGAAATGACAGACAACATAGAGAAGTTGATGGTGTTGAGAACACCCGATTCGGTTGAAGAACCATAACTCTACACACCATCTCAACAGAAATTATGGCTAAAAAATGAATCTCAGAAGAAGGAGATCGAAGCCCATATGAACAAGAGGAAGGAATGTTAGAAATATAAGAAGAGGATGGCAGATTGAGATGTAGAGGGGGAAAACACATCAGAAAATGGAACAGAAAAAACAAAACAAGAAAGAGGAAATTGACAACCGACTCCAACCAAAGCTAAAGTCGCCGACACCGATTTTGAACATATTAGAAACTATTACAAAAACAGGAGAAAAACTCTCACAGTAAAGAGAATGTCTCTCATGAAAGGAGAGAAGGGCCTACAAGGCTAGAACCTAGTTACCATTTAATCTGGGCCAGGGCCATTGAGGCGTTGATTAACGAACGCTTCGAAATTCTCAAGTTTGTTTTGGTGGGAGGTTTCATAATCCCTAGACTGGATTGGGACTCCCTAGTCAAACCAAATCCATGGACTCTGATAGCTTCTAGGCTTCTAGCAAATATTGGAGGAAGGGGAATTTGGTGTTGAGCTTTCGACTAAAGATACACGCTCTTATTTAATTGATTGGGTCACAAACCTTTTTTAAAATTTAACATTTGAGTATGAACAATTAATATGTTTTCATTACTCTCGTCAGTAGTCAATTACGATGTTCATGAGTATCCACAATTTCTTTGCAAAATTGAACATTTGAAATGCCTAAAGTTCGATTTTTATGAATAACAAATTCGATACTTAATTTTGATTAACACAGTATGTGGCTTAGTTGAAAACTAGCTCTCTACCTATCATTGTATGAAAAAAAATAGAGCACCATGTGCCAATGAAATGTTTTTTTATCTGTCTAGAACACGACTTGATACACCAACTATCATACATAAGTGATTGAATTTTTTTTTTTAAGTATTCAACCACTTATACTATGACACTTAGTATACATGACTGTGTTCTATCACACTGTAAAATCTCTCTATGCCAACATTACAACTATCTCGCTTATGTGACATCCCTTGTGATGACATACAATCCGATTGGGATCATTACATTTTGTTGGTAAGAACTAAGAAAGGTGTTCAATGGTGCAAGGTAAAATCCCGAAAAAGCCCCTCCGAGAAAAGGGCAAGTATTCAAAGGCCTCCCTTGCCAGTTCTCGCACACTCGCACAAAAATAACAAAAACTGCGCGCTTCCTACTCCCAGTGTCGTCCTCTCCTTCAAACATTCGAAACGGACGGTCGAGATCTGGTCAGGGGCACCCGCAAGTTGCTCGATGTTTAACAGCAAAAGTCTCTCTCCTTATTTAAACCCGCCATTTCCAATTTCCTCGCATCTCTCCACCCTCCCCCTATTGTTCCACTCAGTTTTACCATTCATCATCGTCTTCCTCTTCGCTTTGATCAATCATCATCTCCCATTTCTCTCTCTGAAACGAAACGATGGCGTCGCCCAAGAAGGAGAGAGAGACCCAGGTTTACTTGGCCAAGCTCGCTGAGCAGGCCGAGCGATACGAAGGTCACTCACTCACACCTCACTCTAATTTTCTCCATCTTTTAATCCGTCGCTGTTCTTATGTGTGTGTGTGTGTGTGTGTGTATGTATATGTATATGCATATGTGTGTACGTATGTTTATATGTTTTTATATGTAAAACAGGCATTGATCGGATTGTGAGTGTTTCGGCATTGCATCGGATCTTACAGGATTTTGCATGAAATAACGAATACCTTTGTTTGTGTTTGATTTTTGTTGCATTGGAGGAATTCAAAGTTCTTATAATTCGATCGTTACGTTTATACGTCAAAGCTGGCGTTGATCAGATTGTGCACGTTTCAGCATTTGTATCGAATTTAAAAAAATTATTAAATTCCGAATGATTTTTATTATTCGTTAGAATTGATCAAATTTTTTTTTTTTTAAGTAGTATGGAATGTATTGTTTAGATTAATATTGAACAATGGAAATGAATCGAACACGTGTTTTTGGTGTTCTGAATTGACTGTGTTTTGCTGTGTGGGTGGGGTTGCTTGCTAGTTTGAATTGGTTTTAAATGAATGAAGGATATATACCCGGCGATGGCTAATTGGTCGTTGTTTCGGTTTAGAATTTGATCGTCCTTTTTTTTCGGAATAGAGGGAGAATCAAATGTATACACTTTTATGCATAATGTTGAAGTGAGTGGAAATGATTTGCTAGCCGTATGTCAAGATGAGTTTCTCTTTGAATTGTTATGCTTACTCGATGATGCAGAAATGGTTGAGTGTATGAAGAAAGTTGCGAAACTTGACCTTGAGCTGACTGTAGAGGAGAGGAATCTTCTTTCTGTGGGATACAAAAATGTCATAGGTGCTCGAAGGGCCTCTTGGCGCATCATGTCGTCCATTGAGCAAAAGGAAGAGTCTAAGGGAAATGAGCACAATGTCAAACTGATCAAGGGTTACCGGGTGAAGGTGGAGGAGGAACTCTCCAAGATTTGCGATGACATTCTGTCAATCATAGACAAGCACCTGATCCCCTCTTCCTCCTCTGGAGAGGCCACTGTTTTCTACTACAAGATGTGAGTCACGTTTTCCCCTCGTAGTTTACTCCAATGAATGCGTGGAATATATTGGAAAAGGGAAAAATTGCAAATATATATCGGTTCAGGAAATTTTCTCCGTTTCCTTGTTGGCCCTGCCTAAATGATAGGTTAAAGAGTACAAAGTCCTTTGGTTCTGTTATCCTATTTTTCTCCATCTTGTACTGACATTCTTCATACTGCATTTGGAATTTCTAATTTTTTTTTTGTGACCAACAATGGCGTGCATGTTTCAGGAAAGGTGACTATTATCGGTACCTTGCTGAGTTCAAGACCGATCAGGACAGAAAAGAGGCAGCTGAGCAGTCACTCAAGGGATACGAGGCATGTTTAATTTTACCAATTTTAACACAAATGCATGTTAATCAGTGCATATGTATGTTTCATTCTTTTACACTTCCTATTATTTGATGTGCTCTCCTGTTCCCACGTCCTTTCTCAGGCTGCATCAGCCACTGCAAACAAAGATCTCCCTTCAACCCACCCAATCCGTCTCGGTCTAGCCCTCAACTTCTCTGTCTTCTACTATGAGATTATGAATTCTCCCGAGAGGTATCAGTTTACGTCTGTTATCTTTTGATTATTTTCGTTGAAGTAACTCCTGAGATGGTCGTTGTCGTCGTAAACTTGTAGGGCTTGCCATTTGGCTAAACAGGCATTTGATGAGGCAATTGCAGAGTTGGACACCTTGAGTGAGGAGTCATACAAGGACAGCACCCTTATCATGCAATTGTTGAGAGACAACCTCACTCTCTGGACCTCTGATTTGCCTGAAGACGGAGGTACAGCATACCTCGATGCCTGATTAACATGCATTTACATTTTCGGTAAAACCGCATAAATAAAAATTGCCAAGTAACACACATTTACAATATCAATCCTTCCTAATTCCATACCATATAAAGTTCCATTCCTTTTGAAATCACTGTACAATTAGAAAGACTTCGAAAGACTTCTCTTTATCTTCAGCTCCTCCCATTCTGAATGTGAAACAACAACGGGCATGCTGTTGGTGAAGGGATACAGGAATCAAAAACTGTATGGACTTTTAGGGTAGTATGTGAACGAAAGTTTGCGTAGGTACACATTCGAAGGTGCCGGTATCTATGTGCAGGCACCAGCACGGTAGAAGTTTCTGTTCTGCATCACAATTCAGATGGAAAAAACCTAATGTGAAAGTGATTTTCCGCAGGTGATGACAACTTCAAAGGTGAAGAATCCAAGCCTGCCGCCG